CACACTGGATTTATTCGATTTACTACCGTTTTTACTAATTTTTAAAAGGTCTGAACCTTTTTTTTGAAAAAAAAAGGCTTTTTATACAAACACGGTCAGCAGAGGTAGGACCTCTTAGGAGTACTTTTATACAAGGACAGCAGAGGTAGGAACTATTAGGAGTACTTTTACACCAGGAATGCCGAGGTAGGAACTCTTATGAGTACTTTTATACCAGGACAGCAGAGGTAGGACCACTTATAGAAGTACTTTTATACCAGAACACCAGAGGTAGAACCTCCTAGGAGTACTTTTGTAAGAGAATAGTAGAGGTAGGACCTCTTAGGAGTACTTTTATACCAGGACAGAAGAGGTAGGACCTCATAGGAGTACTTTTATACCACGACAGCAGAGGTAGGAATTTATTTATTCTATAGAAACTCTCAATAAAAAATTATAATAATATTAGGTTCATTCAGATTGTTCAAGTAATTCTTTAAACTCCTTTAGAAGAAAATATAAAGCATTATAAATCTAAAGATATTGAAATAAGGTTTTATATTTGCATTGGCAATTTAATGTGAAAATTGTCTTCTTCAGATAGTATTCCTTTCTTTTTCTAGTTGATGAAGTTTGATTTCTATCAAAGGATTCTAATTTAGATCAACAGTTATAAACATGTTTCGTGTTCCACTTAATATTCTCACAGTTGCAGCACTGATGCTGGTCAAATCAGGTAATTATAATTATAAAAATAATGATAATGATAATGATAATAATAACACTAATAATAATAATAATAATATTAATAATAATAAGAATAACAACAACAACAATAACAATGACTTTAACGACTAGCTGAATTGCCCGACGTTGCCCAAGTTTTCATTTGTATTATTCACAGTCATAGTTACTCCCGCTGTTTATCAGTGCTTGGTATTAAATAATGATTTCAGAACTTGGCGTTGCCCGTGGAATATACAAAATGTCAAACATTTGGTCAGTCATTTCACCCTCGGGTGACCCATGGTTTCCCTAAAAAATGTTAACCAATTTGGTCCAGCTTGGCTGACATAAATGCATATATAACAATAAAAATAATAATTAAAATAACTATGAAAAAAATAAGAACAATAATAATAATCTAGGTTTGGTTCAAGATGTAAGATGGATTTATCTTCTCACATCCCTCCTTCTCTCCCTGGCAGCTCTGATATCGTTTAAACTTTACAGTACACCCCAGATCATCCGCTGATAAAAATAAACCAGCCCGGAGAATATGAGAACTTAGTGTACCAGTCACTCATCATAATTTAGTTTTATCTCAGTACTTTTTAAATACCAAACAGTATGCAATGTGTGATAAAAAACAAATTTTAAATTCACATCTTTAAATTTCTGCATTTTTTCAACTGTACTTTTGTATAAAATTTCTGTTTTTTCAACTGTACTTTCGTATAAAATTTCTGTTTTTTCAACTGTACTTTTGTGTAAAATTTCTGTTTTGTTTCAACTGTACTTTTGTATAAAATTTCTGTTTTTTCAACTGTACTTTTGTATAAAATTTCTGTTTTTTCAACTGTACTTTTGTATAAAATTTCTGTTTTTTCAACTGTAGTTTTGTATAAAATTTCTGTTTTTTCAACTGTACTTTTGTATAAAATCTCTGTTTTTTCAATTGTACTTTTGTTTAAAATTTCTGTTTTTTTTTCAGCTGTACTTTTGTATAAAATTTCTGTTTTTTCAACTGTACTTTCGTATAAAATTTCTGTTTTTTCAACTGTACTTTTGTATAAAATTTCTGTTTTTTCAACTGTACTTTTGTATAAAATTTCTGTTGCCAAATCAAGGAATATTTTTTGGATAATGTTTAAAAATCTGGTTATTTCTGGTTTGTTCCCATGTTAAGAAAAATGAAGAAATTACAATACTTTAGTTCTGTGATATCTAATCTTTAAAATGTTATCTGAAGTATTATCCTTTAAATATATACCTACTAAACTAGCCTTACTTCTACACCACATTCTTTCTATAAACTCATGATTTTCGATCAATTGTTTTTTTGACACTTGTAATTTTGCTACAAGGGACCGAATTTAATGAATTTGAGCTAGGTCGCTGCCTAATTACTGGTTCAAATTTAAACCTCCGCTTCAAAGTTCAATGAAAAATTTGAATCTGTGATTCAAAGAACGGCTCGGTGGAGAGCAGTTTAAATTCAATAGATTCGGTCCCACCAGAGGAAAAAGAATCTTATTTAAATGAGGCATTATTTTCTTCTTAGTAGTGTAATGTATAGTATTAGTCATACAATATTAGAGTAGGAAGACGATGGTAGGTGAATTCGATATTGTATTAAAGGGAGTGACCGGCACTGTTTAATAATTGTACTGAGAATGTAGTGCTGCAGAGATATTTTTTAGCGCAAAGTCGTCGTTCAAAATCATCCATTTGTGTAGTTATGTTTTAAGAATCGATTTAAAAAAAAATATTTAAAACCGACGACAAAAAATGTAATAAGAATTCTATAGTAAACTAATTAGATGTTTAGGAACATATTTCTTCTCTTTAAATCAATGTTAGATATAATTATCTCTTTTTCATCAATTTATTGAATTTCTAATTCTTTATGAATTTGTTTGCAGACTTCTTCAAATTCTCCAAATGTCGATTCAACAAAAATTTCAGGAAATATACAGAAATTTTTTGTGAACAATGAGTTATTACAGAAATCTCAAACTGAATTAGATTACTTTTTTTCCATGCTAATGGTTAATTTTTATTTTCTCAACCTTTTCCTAAACAACTAAAATTAGTTTATTGTAGAATTTTTACTACATTTTTTGTCGACGTATACGATTAATTTTTTTAAAACCGATTCTCAAAAATGAACAATCTTTGAGATTTTTAAAGATTGAATTTGCGTTCTTGTTGAACAAATATGCACCTTAAAACCGTCTTAGTCATAGGCCTGTACATTTAGTGTATACACTAAACAACTAGCTGCTGTATTTTATGTAATTAAGATCTATTCAAAGTAATAACTTGAGTCTAAAACACGTATTCCAATTCCAATATTGTAAAGGTTACACTGTACATAAACATATATGTAGATAAGTACATTAACTATAAATTGTACTTGTTTCCTGTGTAGTTACATACATAAACAGTAAAATAATTAAATTGCAATGTATTTATTATCAGATTTGTACAAGGCATGTACACATTAAAGTGTACTGTATGCAACAAAGCATGTAAATTACAAATTAGTAAACTGACTGTACAGCGTACAGTGCACAAACTGCACATTGTCCATTGCACAGTGTACAATTTACATTGTACAATGTACAGAGTAAAACTGTTTATCATGAATACACTGGGTAAATAAAACTATAAGAAAACCTATACTCTGATTGAATATTGAGTATAACCCTGGATATCTTCAGGGTTGGACACAGAGTGTCAAGGAAAACATTCTTCTTAAAGAAAATAATCCAAGCCATGAAACCAATCTTGATAAATAATATTGGCATCCATGTTGGGTAATCAAGATTGTTTTGTATGTGTAGTGCAAGTTTACTTTGTTTAGGCAACCTGTAGAGTGTAGAGTGTAGAGGACTATTATAATCTATATAGGCTCTAATTCTTCTACTTAATACCAATGAATAGATTATTTCTAGACCGAAACTGCTTATCATCAGGAGAATCAATGTGGGAAGGGGAGGGGGNGGGGGGGGGAATAAAGGGAGTGTACAGAGATTAGGCTGGTTAATAAAACTTCTCGTTGTTAAGATCACTCCTATAGTTCTGTATGTGTGAAAATATCATTTAAATATTTGAATATTAAGTAGTCAACTAGCATTTCCATAATTTAACTAAATCAAATAAAACTCTGATTGCAGGAGTTACAATGTGCCCCACAAAACCACAGAAATGGCGTCCCCTTGAGATAAAAAGGTTAAAACTTAAGAGACGACGCGAAACTTTTTAAATATAAAAAATTCTAGGTTGGATTTGGTTTTCTGACTTGGAGTCTGTAAATTATGAAGTTTTTGATTTTTAAAATAAAGAAACAAGTTTCCTATCGCATGAAACCAGAAATGCAAGCAAAAGACAATTGGCTCTGAAGTCACAACCTTTGTGAGTAACCTCATATGTCATTCATGCATTTACGATTCTTTAAAAAATTATGATAAAACACCCCTGTACACTACACTGTACAGTTTACATAACGGGTTATATTGTGTATTAAAGAAGTATAGAAGAGAATGCTAGTTATTGTTTGGGTTGTGTAGGTTGTGTGCCAATCTAAACTAAAAATCAAAAATTCATTTTAAAACACAGTGTCAATTTATTGAGAGCTATTTTCTCATAGTTTTACTTTATTTCCAAAATTTGTTAATATAAAAAAAACTGTTTAGATTGCTGCGATAAACTAGCTGATTATTAAAATAATGTCACATATTTAGTGTCCGTTTTACAGCTGTATTCATGAATCTGTTTCTCTACATATGGAAGCTCAAGAGCTTGTTCAATTAAATAAATCGAGTAAAAACGTGAAATAAAACAGCCGTAAGCTGAAATTACTATATACGGGGTTGGTTTCAATAAGTTTCTCCCCTGATCACAATCTGATATCTCCTAGAGTACCTGGAGCACAGGTTTCTCCAGGGTCACGACTATACTTGTAGTACATAGAAGCACCAGTACATAACGTTGAAGAGAATGAATGAAACTGGGAATACAACGCGAGAATATTTGTCGATAACATTCACATCTTGGATTTTTGGCAGGGAGGATTTAATTACTACTGCGCCTTTTCTCAGCTGATTTAACAACCTCGTTCTCCGTCTTTCCTTCCTGGAAAACCAGAAAATTCAATCATGATCGAAAACACGCAATAAGAAACCGATAAAAACTGGTTCAGACAAGGTATAGTTATAAATAATCTTAATTCTATTAAATTTACCAGGAATTTATATATAAACATATGTATACTGGCTAAAGTGTCCGGCATTGCCCGTAAAGTTTTAGAAACACTGTGAAACTTGAATTTTAAAGAAAGTCTTTTTCCAGTTTTGAAAAAAAGTTCGATTTTTTAGCCTATTTTACCTCTGGGCCCGTACTCAAGGTTTCCCAAATAAATGTCAGCCAATTTGGTTTAGCCGTTTGACCAGCTAAGCGAACATATAAATGAGATAAATATATATATATATATATATATACAAGCGAAGATCTATATTTTATAGATGTTTACTTATTTTTTTTCTGTTTGTATATTTCATTTTTTTAACCCACCAAAGAAAACAAAAAAATAATGGCGGCGTGATCAGCTGATTAGATTTTTTCCTATAGACGTGATTAGTGCTGCCACGTGTCGGAAACGAGTAATTTCTGTGCATACGGAAGCTGGGAGGAAACTGCTCGGACCCTGAAATTTTTTTACTTTTCAATTGCTTGTAAAATATTTTAGAAAAGATTTTTTTTCTTTATTATATTAAGTTATTATAAGAACATACAATATTATTCATTAACTTCCCCTTCTTATCCTTGTCCTGAAAACACAATATTATTCATCAACTTCTCCTTCTTATCCTTGTCCTGAAAACACAATATTATTAATCAACTTCTCCTTCTTATCCTTGTCCTGAAATTACAATATTATTCATCAACTTCTCCTTCTTATCCTTGTCCTGAACACACAATATTATTCATCAACTCCTCCTTCTTATCCTTGTCCTGAACACACAATATTATTCATCAACTTCTCCTTCTTATCCTTGTCCTTGTCAATATTGGAAAGCTAGCTTGGGACTCCAGCTTTGCGTGGAAATAAACACTTTCTAAAAAATTTCCAACCAATTAGAAATAAGACCATTGTGGTCTTCTACAAAATATGTTCATACAAAGAATTTTGACAACTGAGGATCGTTGTGAGACGTGTAACATTATGTTAGTGTAATTCTTTTGAATTAAAAAATCTGCGAAATCAAAGTTTAAAAATTGTTGGCGAAATGTTTATTCTATTATTATCCAAAATTTTATTGAAATTCATTAGATATTAAACGAGATAAAATAAAAACCCCGCAAACATACAAAGTGGAAATCTGAAGAAAATGTAAATAATTGGCTTACTTTTTTGGTTATATCTTAATAAACTTTGAATGAATTTTTATGAAACTTTGGAAAACAACAAAAATAGTTTTCCGAAATTTTTTTTAAAAAAACGTATTTTTTCAAAAAAAGATTTCTTTTCAACGATCCAAAAATAATTTAAAAATTTTCTTAAAATCCAAAAAAAAACTAAATTTTCTTACAATTTTGTCCAAAACATCGAAAATCCCGTTTTTGGACTCATCCTGTATGTATATATTATATATACGTATATATATATATATGAGAGAATAGCTTTATGATATAGAAGAAGATATATACATTAAGAAAACACTTTTAGTTGAATGTAACAAGCTAAGATTTTTGAGACCTTCGTAAATATCTAAAACCCCTCTTTATAATAAAAATATTTTTTTTTTTAAAGAGAAATTTTATATTTTCTGAAGTCTAGTGCACTTTCTCGAGTATTTCTAGCGAATTTTTTCTTTTCCACTTTCTCAAGATATGTTCCGGAATTTATATTACAATTCTTTTCAACACTTGATGTCTAAAAACTCCTTAAAAGAAATAAAATAAATTATTTGACAAGTCTCCGGAGGAAAGTGGAAAGATCCAATATAAAGTCTGCAAATCAAAAATGGAAAACTTATAAATCATCTCAGATCTGAATGAAAAGTTTTTGTAATTTATGTGATGAGAAAGTACAACTTTTTGTTGGGGCACCGCTTAGGAACATCAACTCAACTCATAAATACAGAGCTGAAAACTTTAGAATTGTGGATATCCAGAACATTCCTTGATCTTATCATTTTACTAATCTAAAGATTAATTTAGTCTTTATTTTGTATCCAGAAAAGTGCATGAAAGTCAACCAAGAAGCCCAGAAATTTTGAAAGATAGGCGCGCAATCAATGAATTCTCATTTCTCTAATTGATCGGAACAACCTGTACGTAAGGATATCCAAAATGAGGAAAAAAGTGCATTAAGCAGGAATCAAAAGTGTCCATAGGGATATTCAGATTAAGCGATCAGGATTAAAGGTATAAAATTCTAAAGTTTTCAGCTCAGAGCAAACTTTTAAATTAATGGCTTAAAGTTTATGGGGTGGCTATGTTAGAAGGCTTAAATCAAACTGCCAGGGGAAGCTGGGATACCACTGAGCGCAATATGAACAGATTTAATGTTTAAAAGTTTTGACCTCTCGATATAAAAACTCAAGTTTTCTATTTTTAATATTTTTTAACGTCTTTTCCAAACTTTACATCAAATTGCAACACATTAAATTTAATATGATTAAACATTTAGTTTCTCATGTAACTACAGTTATTGTTCTACAGGTTTATCCGAAACCTTTTCTCAGCATTTCAAGCAAATATCCTGATTTTGAATAATCGTCTCTTTGCATCAATCATTTATAGAAAATATAGACCACACAACTTATAAGAGATGTGATGACAAATCCTGTAAAAAATAACAAACCTTCTGCTTCTTTTCCTTCTTCTTCTTTTTAGCTCTGGCGCCCCAGTATGTGTAGTTGACGGCGGCGTATTCCAGAAGCGCGGCAAAGACGAATACGAAACACATGACAAGGTAAATATCGATAGCTTTCACGTAGGAGATTCGGGGCAACGACGACCTTACTCCGGTACTAATCGTCGTCATCGTCAGTACAGTCGTGATACCTGAAACATGATTTTATTCTTATTCTTATTCTTATTCTTATTCTTATTCTTATTCTTATTCTTATTCTTATTCTTATTCTTATTCTTATTCTTATTCTTATTCTTATTCTTATCCTAATTCTTATTCTATTCTTTTTCTTTTTCTTATTCTTATTCTTATTCCACATGCAGCGGTGCACACTAAAGGCGATATTTCCTAAGAAATTCTACTGGACTGGGAAACAGTATATTATGTGGACAAATGGAATGATTTTAACGAAAAATTCCTAATACGCCACTCCATACACACCCTTATCCTCATCTCCACTCTACCTACCATCTAACCTTCTCACAAGCAGCGAAATGAGACTCGAGGACATTTCTTTGTAGGATACTACAACAAAATTACCTCTAAACGGGTCACTTGATTATCCTTTGTTCAATAGCGACCCTCCTTGTACAGGAAAGTAAAAATGTGCGGTTCATAGCAGGGAAGCTATTGCTCCCTCGCTGCAAATAGAAATTTACTTGAAACCTAGCACATGCAAGTTGTCAGAATGTAAAGAATGTAAAGAATGTAAAGAATGTAAAGAATGTAAAGGACTGAGGCAGCAATTATAATTAATCAAAACAAAAAAAACAGGGCAGGGTACATCTGTACAATAAAAGAATGATTGTGCACTGTCTTACAATGGCGCAAAGACAATAACTCTGAAAATTTCTTTCAAAAGCAGCGCAATAAATGGAAGGGCTAAGGAAGGCAAGACAAAGAGAAACTTCCGACGTGCAGATGGAGAATGGAGAAAAAAATATGAACATTTGAATTTATTAACTATGCCTTGTACCATTTTATTTTACAAAAATTATAAAAAATAAATTATAAAAACATTGTTAAAAAATTCTTATCCATATTCTTATTCTTATTCTTAATCTTATTAAGTAAGGTTTGCTGAGTTAGATGGATAAAACTTGTAAGTATTTGCTGACTCAATAATCTGAAAACCTGGCAGTTTTTATAATTAAATTTTTCAAAATTTCAGACCAAGCTTCTAGGATTTTTTGAAAAAAAGCAAAACAGAATTTTGTGCAGGCAGTGGGAGATGCCTTGCATTGTCATGATTCTTGACTTCAAATCAAATGGTTCTGTAACAGCAACAAAGAGAATCGAATATATTAGAGTGGAATTTAAACAATCCATCGGTATGAATTTTGTTAGTCTCTTTCAGCCTGAAAACTCAGCAAACCTAAATTAGATTGGTTAAATGTTTTCCTTCCATTTCGTAGTTTTATAAGTCCCATTATATAAAAGTTATGAAATTGAAATTAAAGAGTTAATAACCATTTACCTTCCTCATCCACAATTTTAATATTTTGGTATCTTGAGTATTTCAAAAATATTGGTTTTACTGTTTGGTTACTTCAAATTAAAAAATATGTTTTTTTAACTAAATAAAAACATCAAATTGATTTGATCGACGCTTATGCTGAAATGAACTCGGGATTGCATGACAGGCTATCAGAGAATTGATTTAGAAAAAATCAAATAATTTTCAAGAAAACTTTTCTTTAAAATGATGTTCCAGGGCTATATAGCACAAATGTGTGAAGTATGGAGACAGTACAACAAAATGGCCGTTTTACACTTTTTTTGAGTAAATTCCACTCTAATATATTCTATTTTCTTTGAACAGCAGGGTTCAACTGAAAAATGTTTTTTTTTAAACTAGGGTTTCCAATCGAAATTTCGCTGACCGGAATTGCGAGGAACTGTGCGGAATTTGAATATCATATCTTTTACATTCTTGCAAAAACAAATGTTTTAGAGAATCGATGTAGATTCGGTTTGATGTAGATTCGTTCACTCAAAATAACGTTGAAAGTCCCTTTAAAGGATCGCATATTTCCGATTTAATGAAATTTCTTTATAAAATTCCGAATAAAGGAATTAAATCAGATAAAAAGTCAACAAAGTCAAAATAACTAATCCCTATATCTTTGCAACATTATGGAGTAAACCTTTCATTTTTCAAACTCAGAATATCTCATTCGTAATAAGGTTTGAAAAATTTAAGGTCTACGACATTGTGTTGCAAAGATAAAGGATTGATAATATCAGAGTTTGTGGCAAACTCAATTCCTTTTTTATCAATTGAACTAGAAAATTGCTAGAAAATTTTTTCTTTTATGGATTGCTAATGATCTTCTACGTGCTCGTTTGAAGTATAAAAATAATATAAAGAAGTACACTCTAGAAAATGCAGTTGCAGCCAGGTTTATTTCCAGAAAACAATAAAGTTTATTTTTACACTTTTATTCCTTTACACTTTTACACCTTTACACTTTTATATCTTTACACTTTTATTCCTTTACACTTTTATATCTTTACACTTTTATATCTTTACACTTTTATATTTGTACACTTTTATTTCTTTACACTTTTATATCTTTACACTTTTATACCTTTACACTTTTATATCTTTACACTTTTATATCTTTACACTTTTATACTTTTACACTTTTATACCTTTACACTTTAATATCTTTATAGTTTTATACCTTTACACTTTTATACTTTTACACTTTTATACCTTTACACTTTTATATCTTTATACTTTTATATCTTTACACTTTTTCACCTTTACACTTTTACACCTTTACACTTTTATATCTTAACACTTTTATTCCTTTACACTTTTACACCTTTACACTTTTATACTTTTACACTTTTACACCTTTTACACTTTTATATCTTTACACTTTTATACTTTTACACTTTTATACCTTTACACTTTTATACTTTTACAATTTTATATCTTTACACTTTTATACCTTTATACTTTTACACCTTTACACTTTTACACCTTCACACTTTTATTCCTTAACACTTTTATTCCTGTACGCTTTTCTATCTTTATACTTTTATACTTTTACACCTTTACACATTTATACTTTTATACTTTTATAATTTTACACTTTTACACCTTTACAATTTTATACTTTTACACTTTTATACCTTTACACTTTTATACTTTTACAATTTTATATCTTTACACTTTTATATCTTTACACTTTTACACCTTTACACTTTTACACCTTTACACTTNGATTTAGTTTGCTACAGGCAAAAGCAGTCATTCAGGCAGTGTGCCTGAGGACTCAGGCAGTTAGTATTAAAGCCCGGTTTTAGGCCTGAAGGGAGGTCTTTGGGTATGTAATAAAAGTCAGAAAATTTCAACAGCCTCAGACCAATACTTTTTGAGTTATGGAAAAAAAACTACAGGGGGGGGGTCAAATTGACCCCCCCCCAGCAGGAATAGGGTTAAACCCTGTACACTTTTATATCTTTACATTTTTACAATTTTATACCTAATACAGCTTATACTTATTCACTTTAATGCGTATACTTTTATACTTTATAGCACTGGTTGTTAATATTAAAATAACCTAAAGCTACCCTGGTACTGGTTGCTAGTATTAAACTAACCTAAAACTACCCTAGTACTGATTGCTAGCATTAAGCTAACCTAAAGCTACCCTGGCACTGGTTGCTAGTATTAAACAAATTTAAAGCTACACTGGCCCTGGTTGCTAGTATTAAACTAACCTAAAGCTACCCTGGCACTGGTTGCTAGTATTAAACTAATTTAAAGCTACCCTGGTACTGGTTGCTAGTATTAAACAAACCTAAAGCTACCATGGCACTGGTTGCTAGTATTAAACTAACCTAGAGTTACCCTGACACTGGTTGCTAGTATTGAACTAACCTAAAGCTACCCGGGCACTGGTTGCTAGTATTAAACAAACCTAGAGCTACCCTGGCACTGGTTGCTAGTATTGAACTAACCTAAAGCTACCCTGGCACTGGTTGCAAGTATTAAACAAACCTAGAGCTACCCTGGCACTGGTTGCTAGTATTGAACTAACCTAAAGCTACCCTGGCACTGGTTGTTAGTATTAAACTAACCTAAAGTTAGCCTGGCACTGGTTGCTAGTATTAAACTAACCTAAAGCTACCATGGCACTGGTTGCTAGTATTAAACTAACCTAAAGCTACCCTGGCACTGGTTGCTAGTATTTTAGTAACCTAAAGCTACCCTGGCACTGGTTGCTAGTATTAACCTAACCTAAAGCTACCCTGGCACTGGTTGCTAGTATTTTAGTAACCTAAAGCTACCCTGGCACTGGTTGCTAGTATTGAACTAACCTAAAGCTACCCTGGCACTGGTTGCTAGTATTAAACTAACCTAAAGCTACCCTAGTACTGGTTGCTAGTATTAAACTAACCTAAAGCTACCCTGGCACTGGTTGCCTCGTGATTAATCCAGAATGAGACCCAGGAAAGCATGACAATGAGTATGGAAGGAAGATAAGTTTGGAACACAAAGTATCCAATATTTCTCTGGAGTTTGAAGGATAAAGACAGCCTCTGAAATATATTTAAGATTATGTCATCATGTCATATATCTTGAGTTATGATTTATGAAACAAGTCTACACTAAAAATTAAAATGAATAATCATTTTTAAATCAACATAAAAAAGCAAAGAGTGAAAACATCTTTTCTTTCGAACTTATATTTATAAATATAATTTATAAACTTTATACTTATTAATTGATATTTATAATGTTAAAAAGAAAATTTGTTCAAAACATTTAGTCGGTTTAAAAATAGCATAAATAAAAATGAAATGGACTAATATTAAAATGATGGAAATATAATGGTCTAGAGAGGGATATAATGTAAAGGAGTGGGATACAATAGAAGAGGGATAAAATATAAATGAGAGGGATATACTGTTTAGGAGAGGGATATACTTTAAAGGAGAGGGATATCATGTAAATGAGAGGAAAATAATGTAAAGGAGAGGAATATACTATTAAGAAGTGGTATAAAATGTAAAGGAAAGGAGATAATATCAAAAAGAGGGATATAATGAAAATGGTTATACTTTAAATGAGAGGTATATTGTGAAGAAGAGGGATAAAATGTTAAAGGCGAGAGACATAATGTAAAAGAAAGGGATATAATTTAAAGGAGAGGAATATAATAAAAAGGAGAGGAATATCATATTAAGGAGAGTGATATAATGTAAAGGAGAGGTATATAATGTAAAGGAGAGTGATATAATGTAAAGGAGAGGTATATAATATAAAGGAGAGGTATATAATATAAAGGAAAGGCATATAATGTAAAGGAGAGGTGTATAATATAAAGGAGAGTGATATTATGTAAAGGAGAGGTATATAATATAAAGGAGAGGTATATAATGTAAAGGAGAGGTGTATAATGTAAAGGAGAGGTATATAGTATAAAGGATAATTATATAATAAAAAGGAGAGGTATATAATGTAAAGAAGAGGTATATAATGTAAAGGAAAGGTATATAGTATAAAGGAAAGGTATATAATATAAAGGAGAGGTATATAATAAAGGAGAGGAGTATAATATAAAGGAAAGGTATATAATGTACGGGAGAGATGGAACAAATATAATGTAAATTAAACCTGATAAGTTCCTGTGGCGAGTTTGATTTTTCTTTCGTTTGTTTCCCAACCCATTATAGTGAACTGGGGCAACTCAGCATCCTGCAATCAATCAATCCATTAAACAATATCAAGCAATAAATAATTCAGAATCCATCTAACAAAGCGTAACATTTAAAATGTATAGCCAAACAATAAAAATATGAATTACCAAAAAAATAATTATTGGTGAAAATTAGCTTAAAACTACTCAATTACTACTAGAACTTTTCCTTTCTTTTTCCAAATCTTTCCAAATTTTACAAAATCCAAAATAAAAACCTTGAGCAGGCGCCAGTATATTTTAGTCTGATTTACGAGCGAATTTGTTAATTGTTGCGTTGTACATCAGTGACCAGTCTCTCTCAGAAAAACGAAGCACAAATAACCAGTTTTCAATGCAATCTTTAATTTTCTTAATAATGTTAAAAACTGAAAATTTTCGTATATTAATGTTGAAATTGCTATTTATCTCCGTCCCTCTCCACCTAATCTACCGACCCCATTGGAACCCTCACCTACCAACCCTCTTTGCACCCTAACCTACCAACCCCCCATGGCACCCTAACCTACCAACCCCCAGGGCACCCTAACCTACCAACCCCCTTGGCACCCTAACCTACCAACCCCCCCATGGCACCCTAACCTACCAACCCCTTTGGCATTCTAACCTACCAACCCCCATGGCACCCTAACCTACCAACCCCCAGGGCACCCTAACCTACCAACCCCCTTGGCACCCTAACCTACCAACCCCCCCATGGCACCCTAACCTACCAACCCCCATGGCACCCTAACCTACCAACCCCCATGGCACCCTTACTTACCAACCCTCATGGCACCCTAAACTCCCCCCCCCCCCCCCCCCTCCGCGGCACTTTGGTATTGATAATACAAGCTTTAAAATCAATTCTCAGATGTCGAGCAATCCAATAGCGTGACAAAAATAGTAAGGTTTACTTTCTTCTTTTATCGGAGATCCTTTTCTTTCTATTCTAAATGATTTTTAGGCAAAGAAAACGTAAAGGGATTGTAAACTAAATTTCAAAGCTAATCGGAAACATATTGCAGTAGCATGATTTGTTTTACTTAGACAAAAAAAAAATTCCTATTTACAACAGAATTTGATTTGAAATAATTCTCTTGTTGTTAATTCAAGCACTCTGCACTCTGCAGCTTATTAAAGCAAGAGAACACAGAAAGTAGCCTAAGGGGTTCCTACCTTATGGATTCCTATCTAAGGGGTTCCCGGCCTATAAAGGGTTTCCCCAGCCTAAAGGGTTCCCCGGCCTGAAGGATTCCTAGGCCTTTATGGTTCCCGACATAGAGGGGTTCCCGGCCTAATGAATTCTCGATATAAAGAGTTCCCGACCAAAAGGTTCCTGACATAAAGGGTTCCCAACATAAAGGTTTCTGATGTAAAGATTCCTGACATAAAGGGCTCCCGACATAAAAGTTTCCGATATAAAGAGATCCCGACCAAAAGGTTCTTTACATGAAGGGTTCCTGACATAAAGGGTTTCTGACATAAAGGGTTCCTGACATAAAGTGTTCCTGGCATAAAGGGTTCCTGACATAAAGTTTCCTGACATAAAGAGTGCCCGACATAAAGGTTCCTTACAGAAAGGGTTCCCGACTCCCGTCCTTTTGGATTCAAAATAAAAAAAATGTCCTAGATCTTAAAAAGGGATTGGTTACTGTATGCCATAGCGTATTTAAGTAACGTAAGCCGGGGTGAGCAAAAACTATTGAATAATTTTATAAAAACTAGTCGATCATTTGTTCGGATTCCTTTAGGTAGGTTTTATTTCGTTCTGTTTCCATATTACTATATTTTAAGAAACCAAATCTAACAATGTGTATTCAGGAACATTCAAAATATGTCTTTCCCTTTAAATTGAGAATATATGCAAAAGTTTATTCTTATTTTCATAAAATATATAATTTTGCAAACTTATGTTCTGCAGATTTCAGACGAGAATTTAGGATTAGTGCATTTCAGGCCAAACTCAAACAAATATGTTTTGCAAACTAGTTGCCTCAATCTGAAACCAACCTCCTACCTCCTAACTCCTATGTTATAAAATTTTTATTTCAATTGAAATTACCCCCAACATATAAAAAAGATTTTATATTTTATTAATTCAAAAAATATCAAAAACGCAAATCTTAGAAACAGAAATGATATTTATATTCCTAGAATAAAATCTATTAAAATTGGACTGGTATGAAAATAAACGACACTTCTCTAAGCTTTCAAATATCAATCTTTCGAATTTTAAACAGAATTTAAAAGAAGATTTTTATCAACAGAACAAATGTTTTAATTCTAACACATGCTATGTTTGCAAAAGAATCGAAGAAAAGACGACTTTACAAATAAAAGAATAAAAAGATTATAAAGAGTAAAAGATATAATCAAACATAAAGGATGTCAAAAAACGGTGCGAATTAAAAAGATGCTTAAAAATGCTCGTTTTTCATAGAACCTATTTTCTTTTCACACTCCATAAGGCTTTTTTCACTTTTTTTTTAACATTACAAATAAATGTAAATTTTTATTTCTAAAAATTGTTAGTTAATCGGCGAAAAATACTAACCACCAGCAATTTATATTAAATATAGTGTAAACAATAAATATGTAACTTTCCTTATCCTTTCCTTTGCTTTTCCTTTTATTTCTATTTTTATATTTTTTGGAATTGGGGGGAAATATTCCCACAACCTCTACTTTTAGAGGTTTTTAAATAATTTCTCCTGAAAAACTTAATTTTGTATATTTTTGTTATATTTCAGAAATAAATAATTTGTTACTTTACTTTTTTACTTACTTTAACTACCTCCTACCTCCTACCTCCTACCTCCTACCTCCTACCTCCTACCTCCTACCTCCTACCTAGAAATCAATAAACCAAAGTATAAACTGTGAAGCTGGAATGGAAAGACTGCCTTAACAACTTTATTGGTTTAATTAATTTATTCGATTACTGTCGTTTGGCAACATGAACTAGAATATTTCATAATCTAGACTCTAGAGGATAAACTAGAATATTTCATAATCCAGACTATAGAGGATAAACTAGAATATTTCATATATCAAGACTCTGGAGGATAATCTAGAATATTTCATTTATCTTGACTATAGAGGATAATCTAGAATATTTTATAAATCTAGACTCAAGAGGATAATCTAGAATATTTCATATATCTAGACTCTAGAGGATAATCTATAATATTTCATATATCTAAACTCTGTAGAGGAATCTAGAATATTTTATAAATCTAAACTCTGTAGAGGAATCTAGAATATTTTGTAAATCTAGACTCTAGAGGATAATCTAGAATATTCCATATATCTAGAATCTATAGAGGATAATCTAGAATATTTCATAAATCTAGATTCTAGAGAATAATCTAGAATATTTCATAGATCTATACTCTAGAGGATAATCTAGAGTCTTAGCTGCAGCACTCCGGTTATCAGCCTTTCCTAACCGCAGGTCTCATCCGCTGTGCTATAATTGGACCCAAATTTACTTCGACGAGGAAAATAATTTGAAGGTTGATTTTAAAATATGTTTAATTTGTTCAAAAAAATGTCTGACATTTTTTCAGATCAATGCAAAAAACTTAAACCCTTCCAATAAAAAAAGTTTAAGTCAAATAGGATGAAATCTTTTTTTTTGAATGTTTTGCAAAGGAAACTTTCAAGATTCCTTTATAACAGTCAAGACAATATTTTCGGGAGAAAAATTTCTTAAAGTTTAAAAAGAGATGGAAAAGCCCGGATTGGCACATCTGTAGGGTTCGGAGTAAAATCACAGGGTCTGGAGTAAAATTTAAGGGTTTAAAATTAAAAAAATAAGAAATGTTTTAAAAAAAGGACTAATATACCATAACATCATATTTTTTTTGAATTTTCTTGAAATTAATTTTTCTCCCTCATGATGAATAATATGACTTTTTCCCAATATAAGTTTTATCCCACCAAAAAAATCTAAAATTCGTCCGAATTGTGAACATTTTCTTGACATATATATTAGTTTTATCACTTTATAAAAAGTTTAGATCTTAACTTTGATCGAATATTTTTGACCCGGCAAAAACTTTTTTACACCAGGGATTTTACTCCAAATTCTCCAAGTCTGCTAGAGAAGAACTAGAACTAAAACTACACTTATTATCAAACAACAATTTTTCCCTAAATATGGAAATTATATAAATTCACTTATTTACTTTTAAACTGTTTGTTTACCTCTACTCCAACAACGGGTTCTTCCCTCCAGTACATAACAACATCAGAAACAGTGTACCCGTCTAAACAGATCATAATATCAGAAACAGTGTACCCGTCTAAACAGATCATAATATCAGAAACAGTATACCCGTCTAAACAGATCATAATATCAGAAACAGTGTACCCGTCTAAACAGTTCAAAATATCAGAAACAGTGTACCCGTCTAAACAGATCATAATATCAGAAACAGTGTACCCGTCTAAACAGATCATAACATCAGAAACAGTGTACCCGTCTAAACAGATCATAATATCAGAAACAGTGTACCCGTCTAAACAACTCATGATATCAGAAACAGTGTACCCGTCTAAACAGTTTAAAATATCAGAAACACTGTACCCGTCTAAACAGATCATAATATCAGAAACAGTGTACTTTTCTGAATAATTCATAATAAAGGAAACAGAGTAACAGTCTAAACAGTTGAAATATCAATGAAAATGAAGAGTTTCAAAGAGAAGTCCACTACAGCGAAAGTAACATTAAAGTTCTAAATTCATTGCAAAAATAGGAGTGGCAAGAAGCGCCCATTGCCATTGAAGTCTTGTACTAATATTTGTTTGTTTACTTACAGCTTTCAATCTCTACTGTGCAGTTCTGTCTGTCTAGTGGATAATGATGTAGATCCATCATACAGGCTAAACAAAATACATTCTTCAACATATTCAACCAAAGATACGTTTTAAATGTCAATATCCAGGTTAAATCATGAATACAGGATGACTCCAATTAATTTGGCAGTTTAAAAACTAAATCTAAATATTTATCCCAATAAAATTGGTTGGTTGATGAAATGTATTTAATGCCTAATGTTGTCGTAAACCGCATCCCGTATGTGATTGCTCCATCACCGTGAAGCCGAACCATCTTATTCTGCTCCGTCACATCGTGAAGGAAACTGAACAAAAAACACATTTATTTCAATATATTGGTAAGATTTTTCTAATTTGAGTAGATTCTAGTCTGCTCATAACCATTGTCCGTTTAAGGTATATGTTCTGTACAATAAATTGTGGATTAGGAAATTTCACTTTAAAGATGTTCAAGCTACAGATAAAACTATTTGGTTTATAATCCCATCCAATACACATAAAAATGGTTAAATGTCGTCTTCCTTCTCCACAGTTTCATGCGTCGCACCTTACATTTGCTAAGGCAATGCTTCCTTAATTTTAGGGAAGTACAGTCTTCATCCGTGTTTTTGAAAGTGTTAAATAATTTTCACATTTTCAATGTTCATATCATTAAAACTTCTGCATTCAGAAGTTAATAATAAGTTAAAAACATGATAATTTTTTCCTCTGGTTTCAGTAAAATGCACTAGATTTGTTTGCGGAAATGACAAAAACATCAGAAAATAAAGAAGAAAAACGCAAGAGTTCTAATAGAAATTTATTATCTTTATTTTTTTTACTAAGGAATATTTAGTTTTGGTCGAAATCTTTAAGTGGCACGACAAGGAATCTTTAGTTTTGGTCGAAATCTTTAAGTGGCACGACAAGGAATCTTTAGTTTTGGTCGAAATCTTTAAGTAGCACGACAAGGAATCTTTAGTTTTGGTCGAAATCTTTAAGTGGCACGACAAGGAATCTTTAGTTTGGTCGACATCTTTAAGTGGCACGACAAGGAATCTTTAGTTTGGTCGACATCTTCAAGTGGCACGACAAGGAATCTTCAGTTTGGTCGACATCTTCAAGTGGCACAACAAGGAATCTTTAGTTTGGTCGACATCTTCAAGTGGCACGACAAGGAATCTTTAGTTTGGTCGAAATCTTCAAGTGGCACGACAAGGAATCTTTAGTTTGGTCGAAATCTTCAAGTGGCACGACAAGGAATCTTTAATTTGGTCGATATCCTCAAGTGTCACAACAAGGACCCCTGATTAATGAGTTGAATGCCGATTATAAACGGTACCCTTTGTACCTTTAACAATGACAAAGATATCGTCGCTTTTCTCTCTTAAAGTGTGTTAAAATCATTAAATTCGAATCTTAATATCTGGCGCATAAATCCACTTTTACGTTGAAGCTTATCAGAGAACATTTTTATATTTGTCATTTTTACTCAGAAGAAAGGTTACAGGGAAACCAATGAGAATACAACTTTTTTTAGAGAGATTCATTTATAACTACGTTTACAGTTCCTTTAAATACGTTTACAGTTCCTTTAAATACGTTTACAGTTCCTTTAAATACGTTTACAGTTCCTTTTAATATGTTTACAGTTCCTTTAAATATGTTTACAGTTCCTTTAAATATGTTTACAGTTCCTTTAAATATGTTTACAGTTCCTTTAAATATGTTTACAGTTCCTTTAAATATGTTTACAGTTCCTTTAAATATGTTTACAGTTCCTTTAAATATGTTTACAGTTCCTTTAAATATGTTTACAGTTTCTTTAAATATGTTTACAGTTCCTTTAAATATGTTTTTGGTTTCAAATAATTTAGTTTTACGTCTATTTTCATATTAGCTGAAAATGTCCTTGATTTAAATGAGATAAATAAAATATTAGATTACTTCATCTTATCTTCAAGACCTTAGATTGCTATTCAGAGGCCGTAACTTTTGTGTGGAGTATTGTTATATTAACGCTTGATCTCGATATTCAAAGTCTGCACTTTTAAATTTGAGGATATATGCTTGATGCCATTATTTATCTCCACTAAGGGATATTCAAGAGGAATTTAATTAATCCTGAGATCTGCTTAAGTTTAAGATCAATACTTAGTCCCGAGATTCACAATACAAAAGTTCTGAGCTCAGTTAACTTGGATCCTTCAGCAATCTTTTGAATTTATAATTTCCCATTTAGAAGTTTTAAAATCAAGAACAGAAGCTGTTCTTTGCATCAATCAATTCTAATTAACTGAATTCGGAATTTTACCTTTTCTTATCATTTGCAAAGAAAGTGTCTGGAACCCATATTTTCTCTGCAAAATCTCCTGATAGTGTTAATACCTGGATATTTTAACCAACACTAAATATTTAGTTTTTATCTTAGTTTTCTACTTTTCCTTTATAACCTTCACCCTAATATTTAGTATTTTTCCTTCATGTAAAGTCTAGTCCCATTCCTATGAGAATCCTATTTTCTCCTACCTTCAACATCCACCCTAATACACTCCCTTATAACTCATTAAATCATTTCTAGTTCTTTAAGTTTGAATTCAAAGGACTAAGTTTATGAGTTTTATGCTTTCATTTCACACTTGAGCTAACGGGGGCCAGTGCCCAACCTCCAAGATATGTACACATACAGAGAAGGGAGCCAGGGGCTTAATTTAAATCACAAATAAGAGAAGCCGCCTTTTCCACAACTTTTACATCATCTGACGAGGGAGGGAATCCCCGGACGCCATGAGCCTCCGCTATGCAGACACGCAATTTGAGCATGCACAATACATCAAAATGTGCAGAAAGGAAGATATTTGGAGAAATATTTAAGATAAATGATAAAAATTTTCTAGATTTAATTTGAACTACAAAGAAGGGTATCACTTAAATCAAAGATGATAAGTCACGAAATGAAATTCAATCAATTTTTTCTCTAAATATTTTCCATTTCATGTAAAAAATGTTTAAAGCTTTATATACAACTTTATTAGTCATATTTAGGCACTATTTATGATAATTGATAGAAACTTCTAATCTTTGAGAAACCTCTCATGCCACTATGTCGAAAAATTTGTAGAAAATATTTTATTTAAACTTAAAACACAAGTTTTAAAAAACCTTCTGTATTACACAGGCACATTTTGATGTATTGCGCATGCTCATTTCTGCGTGTCTGCATAGCGGAGGCTCATGGCGTCCATGGCTTCCCTTCCTCATCTGACTGTAGTCAAACTTATCGAATTGGCTCATACGTGTTAATTTAAGCTTTTAGAGGTTTTGAAATGTTACTATGCGGTATGCCATATCGCCAACCTTTCCCCTTTTTTTATCCATCTATGTTTTTCAATCTACATTCTCTTCACCCTTCCCACCTTCCCTATCCTTTCCTATCCCACATTTCCCTACCCACCCTCCCTATCCCTTCCCATCCACATTTCCATATCTCATCCACCTCGCCTCTTCTCATCCACCTTACCTCTTCCCATCCCTAAGTCCTTCAAATCCAACTTACCTCTTCCTGTTCACATTTCCCTTTCCCATCCACATTTCCCTGTTCCATTCACCTCACAATTCTTCCCATCCACATTTCCCTTTCCCATCCACCTCACCTCTTCCCGTCCAAATTTCCCCTTCCCATTCACGTTAAACTTTCCAATTCACCTTAACTCTTCCCGTCCACATTTCCCCTTCCCATCCACATTACAACTTCCAATTTATGCTACATTTTCCCGTCCACCTAAATTACTTTCCATTTCCCCTTCTTATCAGAGTATGCTTGAAAACCTTCCCTCTAGTCCAGATATGTACGTGTGTATGCATATCATCTGCGCTTTCTAACTGTACTAAACAATTAATTCTTTCTAATTTTAAATTCTCCATTTGAAAACGTTTTTGAATCTGGCAATTTTCCCCTTCATTGACCTGAGCAAGCTATTGGACAGTGGATACACTAGCACACCAGGTTTATAATCCCCCTCCCCCCTCCCAGGATACACTAGCACACCAGGTTTATAATCCCCCTCCCCCCTCCCAGGATATTCCCCAGTTTCCATCCCATTTTTCAGCTTTTATATTCCCCATTTCCCCAGGGTTATTTTCTAGACGTTTTTCTGATTATAGCAATTATATTACTGGATACATTATACAGCCAGTAATCTACTGTTTTTTAGAATTATTCCCTTGTTTTCCAAATTTATTCAATTGTTTTTCCAAGCTATTCCCTTGTTTTCCAAAGTTATCCCCTTGTTTTCCCAAGATATTCCTTTGTTTTCCCAAATTATCCCCTTGTTTTCCCAAGCTATTCTTTTTTTCACAAGTCTTTACCTTGTTTTCCCAAGTTATTCCCTTGTTTTCCCAAGCTATTTCCTTGTTTTTACAAGCTATTCCCTTGCTTTCCCAAGCTATTCCCTTGTTTATACAAGTCTTTACCTTGTTTTCCCAAGTTATTCCCTTGTTTTCCCAAGCTATTCCCTTGTTTTCCCAAGCTATTCCCTTGTTTTCCCAAGCTATTCCCTTGCTTTCCCAAGCTATTCCCTTGTGCTCACAAGCTTTTCCCTTGTTTTCCCTAGCTATTCCCTTGTTTTCCCAAGCTATTCCCTTGTTTTTACAAGCTATTCCCTTGCTTTCCCAAGCTATTCCCTTGTTTTCCCAAGCTATTCCCTTGTTTTCACAAGTTATTCCCTTGTGTTCACAAGTTATTCCCTTGTTTTACCAAGTTATTCCCTTGTGTTCACAAGTTATTCCCTTGTGTTCACAAGTTATTCCCTTGTTTTCTTCTGATATTTCCCTATTTTCCCTATTTTGGTATTATGCTACTCGACTGATTTCTTTACTACTTTTGTTACTCAGTACCTACGAGGTTAAAACACTCAGTTTGGTTTCAATTCTAGAGTTTGTCGACAGAAAATTAATCAAACAATTTTGCCTTAAAAACAATAAATATTTTTCTTTCTTTCTCTATACAAAACATCTTCCTCACTACCGCTAGTATTTACTTTCATTCGCTTTTTCCTCCCTCATCAATCTTCAATTCCCCTCCCCCCTATATTGTGTAGTCCTGTTTAAAAGGACTGTACACCTAAATTCAAGTGATTCTCCATTAATAAAAGGGGGTGTCTGATGAACCATGATAACATTAAAACCTTTGTTCAATGGATAATAAATGAGTGATTAATGTTTTTCTATCTCAAAAATGTATTATATTCCGCTAACGTTTCTTTATACAGGTGACTTAACGTTCTTTGCTGCAGAAAAAACAAAGGAAAATGTTACAATTAAATACTTTTTAAGATAGAAAACCAATTTTTTTTTCTTAATTATAGAATATCAACAATGGTTCAAAGGGTACCGTGGTGAATCTGACAATGAACATGCCAAATTATAAATGGAGGGTTACATGAAATTACAAATATATACAAAAACTAAAACTATTTGATAAAACTTACCATATTTGATAAAACTTAACATATTTGATAAAACTTACCATATTTGATAAAACTTACCATATTTGATAAAACTTACCATATTTGATAAAACTTACCATACTGACTTCAGATATTGAATCAAAACTTGCAATTGTTAAATCAAACCCTACATAAAGTGGATCACCTAAAATATACAATTTGATAAAATGATCATGATGTCAAATTTGCAAATTTGAAGTTTAAAATGTTTTCTCTCTCACCTCCGAAATTTGGTCTAAGTCTAATATCGTATCCATCCAGGAGACGTCCTATTGTTTTAGTTACATTATCTAAACAACAAGAAACAAACTTGAACTTTTCACACTTCTTCTTTCATCTTTCTACATAATCTTTTCCGCTTTTATAAATATTGTTCTTATACTTTTCTGACCGGGGTTTTTCTGCGAAATCCAGTTTTTTAGTAGTAAACAAGTTTGTTTCTAGTTTCCTAAAGAAGCTGCAGAGGGAAGCATTGGATTCCGGGGAGAAAGTCCTTCGCCGTAAATACAACTGAAATAATAAAAATAAAAAATTTAACAAAACTCAAATTTGGAAAATACAATGTAAATAACAACCTCTTGTAAAATACAACGAAATTATGAAAACCCAATGAATTAAATATATATACATGTAAAATACAACGAAATTATAAAAACCCTGTGAATTAAATATCTTTTCATGTCAAATACTAGGAAATTATAAAAACCCAATGAATTAAATATCTTTTCATGTAAAATACAACAAAATTATAAAAACCCTGTGAATTAAATATCTATTCATGTCAAATACAATGAAATTATAAAAACCCAATGAATTAAATATCTATACATGTAAAATACAACGAAATTATAAAAACCCTGTGAATTAAATATCTTTTCATGTAAAATACAATGAAATTATAAAAACCCTGTGAATTAAATATCTTTTCATGTCAAAAACAACGAAATTATAAAAACCCAATGAATTAAATATCTTTTCATGGAAATTAAAACGAAATTTTAAAAACCCTATGAATTAAATATCTATAAATGAAAAATACAAGGAAATTATAAAAACCCAATGAATTAAATATCTATACATGTAAAATACAACGAAATTATAAAAACCCTATGAAAAATATCTTTTCATGTAAAATACAATGAAATTATAAAAACCCTATGAATTAAATATCTTTTTCATGTCAAATACAACGAAATTATAAAAACCCAATGAATTAAATATCTATACATGTAAAATACAACGAAATTATAAAAACCCTATTAATTAAATATCTTTTCATGTCAAAAACAACGAAATTATAAAAACCCAATGAATTAAATATCTTTTCATGTAAAATAAAACGAAATTATAAAAACCCAATGAATTAAATATCTATTCATGTCAAATACAATGAAATTATAAAAACCCTGTGAATTAAATATCTTTTCCTGTAAAATAAAACAAAATTATAAAAACCCTATGAGTTAAATATCTATACATGTAAAATACAACGAAATTATAAAAACCCTATGAATTAAATATCTATTCATGTCAAATACAATGAAATTATAAAAACCCTATGAATTAAATATCTATACATGTAAAATACAACGAAATTATAAAAACCCTATGAAAAATATCTTTTCATGTAAAATACAACGAAATTATAAAAACACTATGAATTAAATATCTATACATGTAAAATATAACGAAATTATAAAACCCAATGAAAAATATCTTTTCATGTAAAATACAACAAAAATATAAAAAATGCATATTGTAAAATAGACTGAAAAGATGCAATAAAGAAAAATAAATAATGTGAAATAAAACTGTAATGTATAAAGGCAATCACCCTTAGCGAAGCTTTCGGTGTGTACTGCAGTAATCTGCCGTACACTGACCGTAGATATAATGGGGTGTACTGCAGTAAACTGCCGTACACTTACCGTAGATATAATGGCGTGTACTGCAGTAAACTGCCGTACACTGACCGTAGATATAATGGTGTGTACTGCAGTAATCTACCGTACACTGACCGTAGGTGTAATGGTGTGTACTTCAGTAATCTGCCGTACACTGACCGTAGATATAATGGTGTGTACTGCAGTAATCTGCCGTACACTGACCTCAGATATAATGGTGTGTACTGCAGTAATCTGCCGTACACTGACCGTAGATATAATGGTGTGTACTGCAGTAATCTGCCATACACTGACCGTAGGTATAATGGTGTGCACTGCAGTAATCTACCGTACACTGACCGTAAGTATAATGGTGTGTACTGCAGTAATCTGCCGTACACTGACAGTAGGTATTATGGTGTGTACTTGCAGTAATCTGCCGTACACTGACAGTAGGTATTATGGTGTGTACTGCAGTAATCTGCCGTACACTGACCGTAGATATAATAGCGTTTAGTGGAGAGTGCAATGAGAGTGCAATGAGAGTGCAACTATGTAAATAATAAAATAATAATAAAAATACAATGGAACGAAATATATAATGTAAAGTAATACATACAACAAAATCTTCATTTATCATATTTTTCTCACATAAGGCATAAAAAAATGAAGTGAATTTGAGGGGGGGGGGGTGTTAGGAGGATGGTGTAAAAGGGTACAGAACGGGATTATATTTAAGAATGAAGAAAAATGTTAATGCTACGACCATAATTATAAGTTTTGACCTGATTCCAGTTGATTGATTATTGTTTTTTTTTTTCTAAACCTCATTATTTTCAATCAACACTTAATTATCTAGAAGAACTTGAATTTAATGGAACTTAATTGTTAAGAAATTTAAATTCATTGATTGACAAATAGATGACTGATAGTAAAGGAAAGTTTTGACGAGGCAATATTTTATAAATAATTGGATTTTTTCCTTAACGAAGATTCTGTTGTTAAATTTTGAGATGTTGACAAGTATGTATGTCAGAAGCTAGGGAACATTTATATAAATATATAATTTACAGTGAAAAATGAGCCTTTTTAGCTCACTCCAAATTAGCACAAAAAGTTTGCCTGATTTGAAAAGTATTTAAGTTAACATGTTTGAATGTAACTTGAAAGGAAAGATAAGAGCAGTACGTTTTTCTTTTTAGATATTTATTAAATGGAATTAAGTGTGTCCTCCTTTGTCTATATAGTTCTGAGGTTTATGTCAAAAATGAATTGTGAGCCCTTTTTTAGCTTTATATGGGCTCGATTTAATTTGATACTTTTTCATTGGCTGATTTAAGGTTTACGCGCGAATTGATATAAGGGTAAACAAAAAAAAAGATGATTATTCGTATCAAACTCTGAGTTTCTAATCCTTATGTTTGCAGCCTGATGTAGACATTTGATTTGTGTAACATGTAAATTCTGCTAAATCAACGTTTGACATATCAAAGGTTTACACCTTGACAATGTAAAGATTATGAAACTAAAGTTTGACATATCAAAGGTTTACACCTTGATGATGTGAATATTATGAAACTAAAGTTTGACATATCAAAGGTTTACACTTTGATGATGTGAAGATTATGAAACTAAAGTTTGACATATCAAAGGTTTACACCTTGATGATGTGAAGATTATGAAACTAAAGTTTGACATATCAAAGGTTTACACCTTGATGATGTGAAGATTATGAAACTAAAGTTTGACATATCAAAGGTTTACACCTTGACAATGTAAAGATTATGAAACTAAAGTTTGACATATCAAAGGTTTACACTTTGATAATGTGAAGATTATGAAACTAAAGTTTGACATATCAAAGGTTTACACTTTGATGATGTGAAGATTATGAAACTAAAGTTTGACATATCAAAGGTTTACACCTTGATGATGTGAAGATTATGAAACTAAAGTTTGACATATCAAAGGTTTACACTTTGATGATGTGAAGATTATGAAACTAAAGTTTGACATATCAAAGGTTTACACCTTGATGATGTAAAGATTATGAAACTAAAGTTTTAGGCAAATAATCAGTTTCTTTCGTTTATAAAAGGAATTGAGTCGTTGTCACAAACTATGATTTTCTAATCTCTATATCTTTTTTGTAATCCAATGCCGTAGACCTTAGATATTTCAAACTATGAATTCTGTTAGATGAAAAAATCTAAGTTTGAAATATCAAAGGTTTACACCATTAGGTTGAAAAAATATAGTGATTAGAAAATAAGAGTTTGTTACAAAGACTCAATTCCTTTAGTCGAGAAAAATTAAAATTAATCTAAGATTTTATTAAAGGGACTGTAGACGTTATTTTAATTGACCCCTCATTTAAAAAAATGGCATCCCTGATTCACAGCGGTACCATTTAAGTTTTTTTTTGAAATTCTCGAAGTTTGTTGATTAGACCCCGACCAAGACCTTTTACATTTAAACAGTTTTATTGAATCGTCACGACAGAAAGTTCACTCGAACGAAATGAATTTTCAAAAAAAATATTAAACTAATATCTTCTACTCTAATTAGGTTTGGGCAAGTATCAAGACAACATTATAAATTTATTTACTTATACCTAATTATGTTATTGACATACAGATATCCTCATTACATTCCTTATTAATAAATTATATCTTATCATTAAAAGTTGTTAATTTCCTAATCATGGAAAAATATTTATTTTTTCGTCAATATTAAATACTAGGTTGGGGACCCAGCGCTGGTTACAAAAAAATACTCCGCCGTTTACCCGCACTTGAACGATTACACAAGGAAAATAAATTTTTGCTATGAAAGTCGACCTAATCAACGTATATAGATAATATATATAGATAATATCCCCGACCCATGTTTTCAAGTTTTACTATTTCTCTGACTGAAAGCTTGCATTTGCTGGCCTATCGACTGGATATTGCAAGATTAAGGAGGATATACAGGGTGTCCCAGAAGGATAAACACTATACAGGGTGTCCCAGGAGGATAAACACTATACAGGGTGTCCCAGGAGGATAAACACTATACAGGGTGTCCCAGGAGGATAAACACTATACAGGGTGTCCCAGGAGGATACATACTATACATGGTGTCCCAGGAGGATAAACACTATAGAGGGTGTCCCATAATCATCTTGGATCTTTGAAACCCTTATGTTATATAAGTTTTTTTATAAAAGATAAATTCAAAATTGTACAAAATTATTTAATAGTATTATGGTATTCCAATATTTCCCACTTGTACCAAAAAATATATTTTGGAATTCTTGAGTCCCCATGGGACCCTCCCCGCCTGGACAGGGGGGGGGGGTAGACCAAATAGATTATCAAATACAATAGATGGCAACGTAGAATACTTACAGTATCTACGTCAACTCAATTTAAATGTGTCAGACAAAACTTAAATAATAATAATAATCATTTAAACTATAAATTGCTTATAACATGCAGTGAATTTAGTGCAATTTCATTTTCATGTATTCTTTATCATCTATAGTGGGATAAAATGCCGTCTTCCTTGTTACTTTTGACACTTGTGACGTCATGCATAATTGGTCAATAAATCCTGTCGCCACCTATTGTACTTGATAATCTATTTGAGATGGCCTTGAATTGGAATTAAAGAAGCT